TGATTTTTACAAGATTATTTCTTTTATATTAATTTTTACAACCGCACATGATCTTTACCATGTTTTACATTGATATGATTAATATTATCATATTATTCTTGGGGTTTAATTTTATTTTTTTTGTTTTGACTAGTATTTTTCGTGTGAATATTTACAGGATCATGGCAATTGTTGAAAAATGTCCATTGATTTTCTTTGTGTTCATCCTAATTATTTTGAAGGTGTGGAAGATGCGGGCTTAATAGGTGGCAATGTATTGACGACAAATGACGGAAGGAAATAATAAAACGAGATAAAACATTAGTTTTGAAAGTCTGGAGAAATTTGGAAAAATATTGGTCAAAGAAAACACCTTAATCAAAACATCTTCAATCGATAGAAAAGAATAAAATGAAAAGTGCAATACGAAAATCACTGTACTTGTTGACCAAGCTTCTGTTGAATAAAAGTAAATGGCGCCGAGAAAATTAGTACAGTACCTTTCACGACTACTTTATAATAATCCTCAATGTAATCACGAAAATAATTGCCATTTCTCGTCTGCTTTTACCATTTATTTTTCCTGTTTCTTTCTTCTGGCATTTTTCTTTTTTTTCTCCGTTTTTCATAATCTTTTTCTTCTTAGTTCATTTTATTTATTTCCGACATTTTCTTTTCCTGTTCTGACTTTTCTAGCAATACTTCTAATATGATTCTTGCTTCATTCTTTTTCTTTTTCTTTTTTAATTTTCCGACATTCTCACTTCCTCTTCTGACTTTTCTAGCAATTCTTCTGAATAGATTCTTGCTTCGTTCTTTTTCTTCTTAGTACTTTTTATTTATTTTCCGACATTTTCACTTCCTCTTCTGACTTTTATAGCAATTCTTCTACTTAGATTCTTGTTCGTTCTTTTCTTTTCATTTCCTGTTCTGACTTTTCTGGCAATTCTTCTGATTCGATTTTTCCTTCATTCCATTTCTTCTTACTTTTTTTATTTTATTTTCTGACATTTTTATTTCTTTTTCTGACTTTTCTAGCAATTCTTATGATTCGATTCTTGTTTTATTCTTTTTCTTCTTAGCTTTTTTCTTTATTTATTTTCCGCCATTTTCATTTCCTTTTTCAGATTTACTAGCATTTTTTCTGATTCGATTCTTGCTTCATTCTGCTTTGTATTTCGTTCCTTTATATATATATATTTTTTTTTCTTTCCCTTCTCTGTTCTTCTTTATTTTTCTGTAGTTTCTTCTCTCCTTCCTCCGTGTTCTTCTTCGATTTTCTTTCAACAATTCATTTCTTTTATCTCTTTCCGAGGATTCTACAGAAGGAGGCTTATAATACCTTTGACCAAACATGTGAGCAACGAAGAAATTTTTGAGAAAATGCAAACAAAAATCACACCTATTTAGATCAATTCAAGTTGGTAGACCCTCCTATTTGACCCCCTCCCTCCCAAGTGACAAAGCGGCAGTGAGATTTCTTATGATAGCGTTGCAAACTGCATTTATCTTATTGCTGCCACTAGGGCAATCATTGCGTTGGCGTCACTGCTGTGGCTTCGATAGCAAATAAGTTTTAGAGGTTGCAGTTGCTTGATCTACTCCCAACCGATTTTGAATAGCTAGATTTATTTCTCCAAAACTCGTTGCAATCCAAAGCTACAGGCGTCCTGGGTAATACCATAAAGTACGTCCAGCAACAAGGAGGTTTTGAGGAGCGTCAAACCACCTCTTAATTGCTGGTGTTACCAGGTCCACACTGACCGGGGTGGTGGTGCCTGTTGGGGTCCCAGCTATGGCAAATAGTTAACTATTATCAGCAATACTTTTTTTTGAACAAATTATTACCAGCAATACAATTTTGAAGGAAATATATTACCAGAAACAGATTTTTGACAAAATAAAATATTACCAGCAATAAAAAATTTTGTCTGCATTAAATAACCCATTGAGGTTGATATGCCGTAAACAAAATAAACCAAACCAATCTAAACGACAAGAATACATATTCTACTCATATGAATCTATCCTAAAAATGTTGTCGGCATTAACTCATTGAGGTTGATATGCTGTAAAACAAAATAAACCAAACCAATCAAACCAAAGAATACATATTTTATTCATACGAATCTATCCTAAAAATGTTGTCGGCATTAAATAACCCATTGAGGTTGATATGCCGTAAAACAAATTAAACCAAATCAATCTAAACCAACGAATACATATTCTACTCATATGAATCTATCCTAAAAATGTTGTCGGCATTAAATAACCCATTGAGGTTGATATGCCGTAAAACAAAATAAACCAAACCAATTTAAACCAAATACATACACTATTCATACAAAACTATCCTAAAAATGCTGTCAGCATTAAATAACGCATTAAGGTTGATATACTGTAAAACAAAATAAACCAAACCAAAGCTACAGAGCCCAACATGACATGCTATAAATCCATAACTGATATATTTGCATCTTTCCAAGCTTGCTTCGGCTGGAAATTGAACTCGCCACGCTAAGTCAAGTTTATATGGAAGCAACTGCTATGCTATTATACTGTTATTATCCAACCTCTTTTTTTTAAGTTTTATACCGTATATGTCACCATTTTGCATATCGTTTATTCATATCTTTAATTTTTGATATCATATGGATTTTTTATAACTTGCTAACTATGGCACTGGACCGAATGGCGAAAATAGAAGAAAAATGACTTTTGATTTTTACTATTTCCCTAATGGGAATGCATCGACTGTTTAGAAAATAAGCATTTAAAAAATGTCTTTATAGTTTGGCAGATCCATGGTTGGAAATAATCAATTTCCTTCACGGCTTTTATTTTATTTCGCCATTTTTATCAATTTCTTGGCTTTATTTTGTTTCTTCTTTCTTTAACTAGTTCTTCTACAAACTTTTCTTCTCCACCAAATGTCTTTTTCCTTGTTTTCTTCTCCACCAAATGTCTTTTTCCTTGTTTTTTTCTTCTCCACCAAATGTCTTTTTTCCTTGTTTCTTCTCCACCAAATGTCTTTTTCCTTGTTTTTTCTTCTCCACCAAATGTCTTTTTCCTTGTTTCTTCTCCACCAAATGTCTTTTTCCTTGTTTTTTCTCCACCAAATGTCTTTTTCCTTGTTTTTTCTTCTCCACCAAATGTCTTTTTCCTTGTTTCTTCTCCACCAAATGTCTTTTTTTTCCTTGTTTCTTCTCCACCAAATGTCTTTTTTCCTTGTTTTCTTCTCCACCAAATGTCTTTTTTCCTTGTTTGTTTCTTCTCCACCAAATGTCTTTTTCCTTGTTTCTTCTCCACCAAATGTCTTTTTTTTCCTTGTTTTTCTTCTCCACCAAATGTCTTTTTCCTTGTTTTTCTTCTCCACCAAATGTCTTTTTCTTGTTTTTTCTTCTCCACCAAATGTCTTTTTTCCTTGTTTCTTTTCTTCTTTTTCTTCTCAAATGTCTTTTTCCTTGTTTCTTCTCCATCAAATGTCTTTTTTTCCTTGTTTTTTCTTCTCCACCAAATGTCTTTTTCCTTGTTTTTTCTTCTCCACCAAATGTCTTTTTCCTTGTTTCTTCTCCACCAAATGTCTTTTTCCTTGTTTCTTCTCCACCAAATGTCTTTTTCCTTGTTTTTTCTTCTCCACCAAATGTCTTTTTCCTTGTTTCTTCTCCACCAAATGTCTTTTTCCTTGTTTTTTCTTCTCCACCAAATGTCTTTTTCCTTGTTTCTTCTCCACCAAATGTCTTTTTCCTTGTTTCTTCTCCACCAAATGTCTTTTTCCTTGTTTCTTCTCCACCAAATGTCTTTTTCCTTGTTTTTTCTTCTCCACCAAATGTCTTTTTCCTTGTTTCTTCTCCACCAAATGTCTTTTTCCTTGTTTCTTCTCCACCAAATGTCTTTTTCCTTGTTTCTTCTCCACCAAATGTCTTTTTCCTTGTTTTTTCTTCTCCACCAAATGTCTTTTTCCTTGTTTCTTCTCCACCAAATGTCTTTTTCCTTGTTTTTTCTTCTCCACCAAATGTCTTTTTCCTTGTTTCTTCTCCACCAAATGTCTTTTTCCTTGTTTTTTCTTCTCCACCAAATGTCTTTTTCCTTGTTTCTTCTCCACCAAATGTCTTTTTTCCTTGTTTTTTCTGCAAATTTTCTTCTCCACCAAATGTCTTTTTTCCTTGTTTTTTTCTCCACCAAATGTCTTTTTGTTTCCTTGTTTTTCTTCTCCACCAAATGTCTTTTTCCTTGTTTTCTTCTCTTCACCAAATGTCTTTTTCTTTTTCCTTGTTTTTCTTCTCCACCAAATGTCTTTTTTTGTTTTCCTTGTTTTTTCTCCACCAAATGTCTTTTTTTTGTTTTTTTCTTCTCCACCAAATGTCTTTTTCCTTGTTTTTCTTCTCCACCAAATGTCTTTTTCCTTGTTTCTTCTCCACCAAATGTCTTTTTTCTTGTTTCTTCTCCACCAAATGTCTTTTTTCTTGTTTTTCTCCACCAAATTTTTTCCTTGTTTTTCTTCTCCACCAAATGTCTTTTTTCCTTGTTTTTTCTTCTCCACCAAATGTCTTTTTCCTTGTTTCTTCTCCACCAAATGTCTTTTTTCCTTGTTTTTTTGGCCTCCAATTATAAACGGTCTTCTTCTCCACCAAATTTTTTTATTTTTTGTTCTCCATGTAGTGTCTTTTTCCTTGAATGTTCTCCACTGAATGTCTTTTATGCTCGGTTTCAATCCACCAAATGTCTTTTTTGCTTGTTTTAATTCTCCACCAAATGTCTTTTTCCTTGTTTTTTACTTCTCCACCAAATGGCTTTTTGCCTTGTTTCTTCTCCAATGTCTTTTTCCTTGAATTTCTTCTCCATTAAATGTCTTTTTCCTTGTTTTTTTCTTCTCCACCAAATAATTTTTTTCGGTTGTTTCTTCTCCACCAAATGTTTTTTTTTAAGGTTTTTTAGTTCTCCACCAAATGTCTTTTTTTTCTCCAATTGTTTCATTCTGCCTCCACAAATAACTTTTTTCCTTGTTTTTTCTCCAATAAATGTCTTTTTCCTTGTTTCTTCTCCACCAAATTTTTTTCCTAAGGCAATATGGCCAAGTGTCTTTTTCCTTTTCTTCTCCAGAAATGTTTTTTTTTATGCTCTCCACAAATGTCTTTTTCCTTGTTTCTTCTCCACCAAATGTCTTTTTCCTTGTTTTTTTCTTCCACCAAATGTTTTTTCTTCTTGTTTTTTTTCCACTCCAAAATGTCTTTTTTCCTTGTTTTTTTCTTCTCCACCAAACTGAATTTTTCCTTGTTTCTTCTCCACCAAATGTCTTTTTTTTCTTGCTGGCAATAATTATAAACGGTTCTTTCCCACCAAATGTTTTTTCCTTGTTTTGGCCTCCACCTCATGTCTTTTTCCTTGTTTCTTCTCCACCAAATGTCTTTTTCCTTGGGACTTTCTTCTCCACCAAATGTCTTTTTTCGGTAGTTTCTTCTCCACCAAATTTTTTTCCTTGTTTCAATCTCCACGTAATGTCTTTTTTTGGTTGAATTTTTTCTCCACCAAATGTCTTTTTGCTTGGTTTTCTTCTCCATCTTGGGTCTTTTTTGCTTGTTTTTTCTTATCCACCAAATGTCTTTTTCCTTGTTTCTTCTCCACCAAATGTCTTTTTGGCTGTTTTTTTTGAATCCAAGAAATGTCTTTTTCCCATTGTTTCTTCTCCACAAATATCTTTTTCTTTTTTTTTTCTTCTCCACAAATAATTTTTTCCTTAGTTTTTCCACCAAATTTTTTTTCCTTGTTTTTCAATCTCCACCAAATGCTCATTTCCTTGTTTCTTCTCCACCAAATGAATTTTTTTTCCCATTTTGCTCGGTCAAATGTCTTTTTTCCTTGACTTTCTTCTCCACCAAATAATTTTTTTCCTTGTTTCTTCTCCACCAAATTTTTTTCCTTGTTTTCTTCTGGCCAAATGTCTTTTTTCTTGTTTCTTCTCCAGAAACTGAATTTTTCCATTATTCTTCTCCACAAATATCTTTTTCCTTTTTTTTCTTCTCAATAATTATTTTTTTTTTTTTCGGTGTTTCTTCTCCACCAAATGTTTTTTCCTTGTTTTTCTTCTCATTTCGGTGTCTTTTTTTCCTTGTTTCTTCTCCAACTCAAATGTCTTTTTTCCTTTTTTTCTTCTCCACCAAATGTCTTTTTTTTTCTTGTTTTTCTTCTCCACCAAATTTTACTTTCCTTGTTTCTTCTCCACCAAATGTCTTTTTTGCTCCTTTTTTCTTCTCCAAGAAACTGTCTTTTTCCTTGTTTTTTCGGTCACAAATAACTTTTTCCTTGTTTTTTTCTTCTCCACAAAATGTCTTTTTCGGTTTTTCTCCCACCAAATTTTTTTCCTTGTTTTTTTCTTCTCCACCAAATGCTCTTTTTCGGTTTCTTCTCCAGAAACTGAATTTTTCCATTATTTTCTTCTCACCAAATGTCTTTTTCCTTGTTTCTTCTCCACCAAATTTTTTTTTTCTTGTTTTTTTCGGTTGAATCCACCAAATGTCTTTTTCCTTGTTTTTTCTTCTCCACCAAATGTCTTTTTTAAACTTGTTTTTTCTCCACCAAATGTCTTTTTCCTTGTTTCTTCTCCACCAAATGTCTTTTTCCTTGTTTTTCTTCTCCACCAAATGTCTTTTCCTTGTTTCTTCTCCACCAAATGTCTTTTTTCCTTGTTTCTTCTCCACCAAATTTTTTTCCTTAAGGCTTCTGGCGTAATGCTTTTTTCTTGTTTTTTGTCTCCAACTGAATGTCCATTTGCTTGGTTCTTAACTTGGGACTTTCTTGCTTGTCTTTTTATAAACGGTTCCTTGTTCTCCACCAAATTTTTTTCATAAGGCAATATGGCGTAGTGCTTTTTCGGTTGAATGTTCTCCACTGAATAAGCCCATTTTTCTCGGTCACAATATCTTGGGACTTTCTTGCTTTTTCAATAATTATAAACGGTAGTTTCCTCCACCAAATTTTACTTGTAAGGCAATATGGCTTTTTGCTCATTTCTTCTGAATGTAAGAAATGAATTTTTATGCTCGGTTTGGGACTTTCTTGCTGGCAATAATTATAAACGGTAGTTTTTTCCTTGTTTCTTCTCCACCAAATGTCTTTTCCTTGTTTTTTGGCTCCACCAAATGTCTTTTTCCTTGTTTTCTTCTCCATCAAATGTCTTTTTTTAACCCATTATTCTTGGGAAATGTCTTTTTTTTTCCTTGCAATTCTTATCCACGGTATGTTTTTTCCACCAAATTTTACTCATAAATGCAATATGGCGTTGTTTCTTCTTCGGTTGAATGTCTTTTTCTTGTTTTTCCATTATGCTCGGTCACAATAAAATGGGACTTTCTTGTTTCTTCTCCACCAAATGTCTTTTTCCTTGTTTTTTTACTCCAGGCAATATGGCTTTTTGCTTGTTTCTTTGAATGTAAGAAATGAATTTTTCCTTGTTTTTCACTCCACCTTGGGACTTTTTCCTTGGCAATAATTATAAACGGTCTTTTTCCACCAAATTTTACTCATAAGGCAAATGGCTTTTGCTTGTTTCTTCTCCAAGAAACTGAATTTTTCCATTATTTTCTTCTCCACAAAATGTCTTTTTTCTTGTTTTTTTCTTCTCCAATAATTAAATGTCTTTTTCCACCAAATTTTACTCTCCACCAAATGTCTTTTTCCTTTTTTTTCTTCTCCAAGAAATGTCTTTTTCCTTGTTTCTTCTCGGTCAAAATCTTTTTTCCTTGTTTCTTGCTCCAATAATTATTTTTTCGGTTTTTTCTCCACCAAATTTTTTCCTTAAGGCAATATGGCCAAATGTCTTTTTCCTTGAATGTTCTCCACTGAATAAGTCCATTTCCTTGGTTTTTAACTTGGGACTTTTTGCTGGCAAAATTATCTTTTTTCCTCCACCAATTTTCTCCATAAGTCTTTTTCCTTGTGCTTTTTCTGAATCCAAGAAACTGAATTTTTCCTTGTTTTTTCTCCAATAAATGTCTTTTTGCTTGCAATTTATAAACGGTAGTTTCCTCCACCAAATGTCTTTTTCTTGTTTTTCTTCTCCACCAAATGTCTTTTTTCTTGTTTCTTGTCCAGAAAATGTCTTTTTCCATTATTCTTCTCACAATATGTCTTGTCTCTTAAACTGAATAAGCAATTCCTTTGTTTTCAATAATTATAAACGGTCTTTTTCCTTGTTTTTTTACTCCATAAATGCAATTTTTCCTTGTTTCTTCTCCACCAAATGTCTTTTTTCCTGAATAAGCCCATTCTCGGTCACAATGTCTTTTTCTTTCTTGCTGGCAATCCACCAAATGTCTTTTTTCCTTGTTTTTTTTTCCACTCATAAGGCAATATGGCTTAGTTTTCATTTCTCCACCAAATGTAAGAAACCTTAAGTTTTTATGCTCTCCACACAATAACTTTTTCCTTTTTTGCTGGCAATAATTATTTTCGGTTGTTTTTTTCTCCACCAAATTTTACTCTTTTGGCCTAGTGCTTGTTTCTTCTGAATGTAAAAACTGAATAAGCCCATTATGCTCGGTCACAATTTTTGGGACTTTCTTGCTGGCAATAATTTTTTCCTTGTAGTTTCTCCACCAAATTTTTTTCTCATAAGGCAATATGGCCAAGTGCTTTTTCCTTGTTGAATCTCCAGAAATGAATTTTTCCATTATCTCCACCAAATGTCAATTTCTTGGGACTTTCTTGCCACCAAATAATTATAAACGGTTTTTCTCCACCAAATTTTTTTCTTGTTAAGGCAATATGGCTTTTTGCCTTGTTTTTTTGAATCCAAGAAACTGAATTTTTCCATTTTGCTTCTCCACAAATATCTTGGGACTTTCTTGTTTTTTCTTAATTATAAATGGTAGTTTCTCCACCAAATTTTTTTCTCCAGGCAATATGGCTTTTTGCTTGTTTCGGTTGAATGTAAGAAACTTTTTAAGCCCATTTTCTTCTCACAATAACTTTTCCTTGTTTTTCTTGCTGGCAATAATTATAAACGGTTTTTCTCCACCAAATTTTACTTTTTTTCTTGTTTTTTATGGCGTAGTGCTCATTTCTTGAATGTAAGAAACTGAATAAGCCCATTATGCTCGGTCAAATATCTTTTCTTTTCTTGCTCTCCAATAATTATAAACGGTAGTTTCCTCCACCAAATTTTACTTTTCATAAGGCAAAATGTCTTTTCCTTGTTTTCTTCTGAATGTAAGAAACTTTTTAAGCCCATTATGCTCGGTCTCAATATCTTGGGACTTTCTTGCTGGCAATAATTATAAACGGTAGTTTCCTTTTCCAAATTTTCTTCATAAGGCAATATGGCTTTTGCTCATTTCGGTTGAATGTAAGAAACTTTTAAGCCCATTATTCTCGGTCTCAATAAAATGGGACTTTTTTGCTTGCAATAATTATAAACGGTAGTTTCCTCCACCAAATTTTACTTTCCTTGCAATATGGCGTAGTGCTCATTTTTTTGAATCTCCAAAATGAATAAGTCCATTTTGCTCTCACAATAACTTTTTCCTTTCTTTTTCTTCTCAATAATTATAAACGGTAGTTTCCTCCACCAAATTTTTTTTCATAAGGCAATATGGCCTAGTGCTCATTTCGGTTGAATGTAAGAAACTGAATAAGCCCCATTATGCTTTTTCACAATAACTTGGGACTTTCTTGCTCTCCAATTATAAACGGTAGTTTCCTCCACCAAATTTTTTCTTAAGGCAATATGGCCTAATGCTCATTTCGGTTGAATCTCCAAACTGAATAAGCCCATTATGCTTCTCCACAAAATCTTGGGACTTTCTTGCTGGCAATAATTATAAACGGTAGTTTCCTCCACCAAATTTTTCTCCATAAGGCAATATGTCTTTTTGCTCATTTCGGTCTCCACAAGAAACTGAATAAGCCCATTATTTTCTTCTCACAATAAATTGGGACTTTCTTGTTTTCTTCAATAATTATAAACGGTAGTTTCCTCCACCAAATTTTTTTCATAAGGCAATCCACCGTAGTGCTCATTTCCTTGTTTTTTGTCCAGAAAATGAATTTTTCCTTATTTCTTCGGTCAAATATCTTTTCCTTTTTTGCTGGCAATAATTATAAACGGTTTTCCTCCACCAAATTTTTTTCTCATTTTTTCTTCTCCACGTAATGCTCATTTCGGTTGAATGTAAGAAACTGAATTCCCCATTATGCTCTCCACCAAATGTCTTTTTCCTTTTCTTGCTGGCAATAATTATAAACGGTCTTTTCTCTCCACCAAATTTTTTTTAAGGCAATATGGCGTAGTGTCTTTTTCGGTTGAATTTAAGAAACTGAATAAGTCCCTTGTTTGCTTCTCACAAATATCTTGGGACCTTTCTTGCTCTCCATAAATTATAAACGGTAGTTTCTTCTCCACCAAATTTTTTTTGTTTTTATTCTCCAGTGCTCATTTCGGTTGAATGTAAGAAACTTCTCCAGCCCATTCCTGCTCTTTCACAAATGTCTTTTTTTTGTTTTTCTTCTCCACCAAATA